CCAGCTGATTCCAGTTAGAGATTTGGAATTGCTTCCTTAATCCACATTTATTGCTGTTTGTGTGGAAAAAGTGTTACAAATCTATCCACTGAGGAAATGTGTGTGTATATATTGAAATTCTTTTCTGCCAGATATTCATTCGTTTTCAATAAGCACTTTATCTAGGTTTAGGGTCACGATGGATCTGGAGATAATCCCAGGAACACTGAGCACAAGGCTGGAGAATTCACCCTGGACTGGAACGCCGGTACATCTTCTGCAAAACCTTGGTTTCAAAATGCTTGAATATTTGGCGAAGTCTCACCTGGAGACAATAACAGCACTGTGTCTGCTCCTGTAATGTCTAACAAAGTGCACGCTTGTAGAGGAGCCTTGGATCCTTCTCCATGCATCCCACGTTTCTAAAAATAAAGCTGTCCAGGAAAGTAAGACGAGTTCTCCATAACTTCTCAAAATCGAATACACCCTCTAAGGATGTAAAAATATCAGCCGCGGTTTCATCATCAGCCGCCGGGAATGAACGCTGCACTCGATCACTCGGGATTTAATCAGGATGTGGAGAAGTAGGACAGACGCACACCGCTGCAAGTCTCAGCAATTTCTTTTTCTTTTTTTTTTTCTCACATCGAGCTGATTTTCTGAGAAGAATACAAAATTGATTTTCAGGTCAAATGTAAAAGAAAAGGAAAACGAGTTTAGACTGGCCGTAAGGGCGGAGACGGCTTCATTACTGTGATCAGCTGTTAGGGCTGAAAAAACATCATTTTAATAAAATACAGTTTAAAAAAAATAACTGTTTGATACTTTAGTTAATGTCTACAAAAATATTTTTCTATTTAACACTGAAAAGTAGAATTTTTCTTTTCATTTTTTAAAATTGAGTCTTTAAAATTTACACCTTTAAAGGTTAAGTATGTATTTTTTTTTTTACATCAAATCAGCTACTTCCTGTTAAAGCAGTTAAAATAAAGTGATAAAAAGATATCACAATATCCACAATGTCTCAGAAAAGTGTACTGTGATTGTAGTTTATCACAATATATCATCCTCTCACTCGGCCCTGCTACAGACTCGACCTCATCCGCTTTGTGAAAGTTGTAATCATAAACCACAGTAAAATTGCTAATATTGTGGTTTTCATATCGTGCCATGAATTCATTATGATTTCAGCTCTGAAGAAGAAGAAGAAGAAGAATGAAGATTTCTGTCTGTTTCAGACACAGTGGTCGTTACAAGACGCTTCAGCGCTTTGACTTTAAAGCCCTTTTAACTTTTATGAGGGAAAACATTACTCTTTTTATAGCGCCTCTCTCTCTCTCTCTCTCTCACTCTCTCTCACTCCATCATCTCCAGCACAGATTCGATTCTGGAGTCCGCCGTTAATTTGCAGATGTGTTCTGTCTGATTTAATGATTCGTTTCGAGACGGTACAAAAGAAAGATGACAACTGGATTGTGTGGAAATGAGAACCTTAGTCTGGCGCTTTCTCCATTGTCTCCATCATCTCCAGGAAATTGTTAACTTAAAGAGAATTTCTGATTTTAACATTAAGGATGAGCTGCTTATGTCAAATCCTTAAAAGGTTCTATGTAGAACCTTGTAACAAAGTGTTTCTCTGTCAGATTGGAACCCCTTTAGATGGGCATCAGAGTCTGATCCTCAGTGATACAAAACATGTTGAGGTTTGTAAACAATATGGCCGCCACATGCCAATTGATTGATTGCATGGCAGAGCTTAATTTCCTCAAACACATGATATATTAGATGGCTTCTGAGTCTGTGTGTTAAGGTTGGGGCATGGTCATCCATAGGGATGGGGTTATCAAAGTCTGATCAGATCTTCTGTATGTGGATTCCTGACTGGGTTACTTCAAAATCATGGCTGCCATCAGCCAGTCAGTGATCTTCAGTCTTATCCACGAAGGGCCAGTGTGGCTGCAGGCTTTCATTCCAGCCAAACAGCTGCACACTTGATAGTTGATTGGAGACCAAGATAAACTGAATAAACAAGTGGAACAAGGTGTGACTCCTGCTTGGTTGGAATGAAAGTCTTGGTGCTTTTGGTGGATGAGACTGAAGACCCCTGATCTATGGTCTCGTTTGTCTTCTATGTGACTCGGCGTAAACTGGCCACTGGAGGCGCTGTTTGTGAAGGGTGCTTGGCCCCCGCAGATTGCCACTTGTGGCTATGTTTTTTTTTTTTTTTTTTTTTTTTTAAAAGCATCATAAAAGACAAAGGTCCTACAACACCATTGGGTTTGTGTATGTGTTGGTGGCTTTGTGATAAAAGCCTTGCCTTGAAACTCAGATGTTGTTGGTTCAAATCCCACCCAGTGCTGTGGTTGAGTGGTGACAGAGTGGCTGTGGTTCTTGAAGACCCTGGGAAAGATGTGGGTGATAGTTTTGCATATAAGGGGTATGCTGTTAAAACTAAGTCGACACTCTCTCTCCAAGCTCTATAACCCCACCCGTTCATCTATCCAGGCCCTGGGGGGGGCAGCTGCCTGGATATTACCCCCCCCCCCTCAGGTTAGGCCCTCCAGCCCTTTCCACATCATCTTCCTACTACCAACTCCTGAACCATCCACGCTCATATCTTTGAGACCTGGCTGGGGTTCGAACCAGCAACCTCACACACAAGAGGCATAGCTCATCCAATTGAGCCACATGATCTCCTACTAGTGTGCTGTTTTTTATAGAACTTTGCACTTCTTTATGCTTAATACCAAGCTCAATTTAAAACTCAGGCTTGAGCTGACGCACCAGAGACCATCAAGCTAACCACCGCACTACAGGTGCATGTTGGGTAGTGGGTTTAATAAATGGTGCAAAGAGGTGCGACAGCATGGACGAGGCGATCATTGAGGTTTGGTGCTCGTCATCATGTAGATTCTCTCAGTAACCGGAAGCGTAGACGTGAGAGCACTGCTGACCGACACACTGATGGACCAGTTGGTGTGCTGTACCTGTGCGATTTCTGGGAAAGGTTTAAAAATGGGTTCCTCTGTTAACGCAGAGGCACTCGTTTGGCTTGTCACAATTTTTTTGTTGAAATATACACAAGGAGGCCCATATGTTCAAGTCTTTGTTTAATTAGCAGTAATAGTAATTTTATATGCAGTGTTTAAATCCAGACCTAACAACAACCTCCACGTGGTAGCAGCTCAACTCTAACCACTGTACCACTGAGGGACACGAGCAGTTCGTTTGGTGTGTATACTCTAAGTAGCTGATTTCAGTACACAACATGTTATGAGCACTCATTTCTCATTGTACACACTTTATTAACCAAATTTTACAATATCATTTGGGAAGGGAGTCAACATTACGGTAGATTCCTGGATGAAAGCATTCTCGGTAATGATGGAATAAGCCAGAGCAATAAGTTTATCTTTTTAAGGAACACAAGCACTTTACCGTAAGGTTTTCTGGTATAAATCATGGTACCAGTCCACAGGGTTGTTGTTGTTTCCTGAACTTTATTTTATTCCTCCATTCTCCTACATTACACACATGTAGCCCCTCAGACCTTTAGCACTCACACCCTTGACCCTAACAGGGATTTGAACCCTCAACCTCCTGACCCAAAGGCAACACTCAACCAGTTGAGCCACAGGATCTTGTACAGAAGATGTTTTTTTAGTCAAACTGTGGCACTAAAGCATAAAAGAAGAAAAGCAAAACTTTGACTTAATAGGTGGCTTTGATCCTAATATGGTCCAATATTTCATTATTTATATTTGTATTTTATTTTGCTTTATTTTAAAAAGCAACTAACATTTGATTTATAAAGAACTAAAGTAGCGTGTGTGTGTGTGTGTGAACGTGCCCAGTTTGGGAGAGTCTGTAGCCTCAGATTCATGTTCTTGGCTGACAGGAGCGGAACCCGGTGTGGGTTTCTGCTGTTGTAGCTCATCCGCCTCAAGGTTTGGCATGTTCTGAGATGCTTTTCTGCTAACCACATCTGCAAAGAGTGCTTATTTGAGTTACCGTGGACTTCGTGTCAGCTCGAACCAGTGTGGCCTGAACCAGCTCCCCTCTGAATGAGCAGGTACACAGGGGTTCCTAATTAGGACATGGACATGGACATGGACATGTGAACTCAGAATGTATGGAGTTGTTGATGGGTTATCAGTCATTGAAGTGATTTTTTTTTGGTCCAGCCCACTGGATTGAGTATAACGTGGCTCGTTTCCTCAAATGAGTTTGACATTGCTGCTCTAAAGGAACTCTGAATGAGTCCATTTACTGCCAGAAGTTCTTTATTATGCCTGTCATACATACTGCTGTTAGTTTAATGAATTGTAAAGAACACTTTCAGAATTCCTTATTGTGAGATAGCAAGGTACCTTTCCTGCTTCTAGCCGGTTTCATATCCGAAACTTCTTCACAGACAGATTTCTGTAGATGTAGACTTTGGCCATGTGATTTAGATTGTTATCTTGGTATTGGGATACACCAAGTTTTTGTAGATAAATTGTAAAATAGAGATTTTTCTATTCAAAAACCATAAAAGGCACAAATTTTTGCACTCAATTGATTATTTTTTTTATTATTATTATTTGTTGGCTTTTTACTTTCTTGGCAAGGTTACCTGACTCATTCCATCTATCAAGTATGCACACACACACACACACACACACACACACACACACACACACACACACACACACACACACACACACACACACACAAAAACCTGGTCAGTCAAGGACTGAAAAGACCAGAACACTTCAGTGTGCACTTCAGATTAGCATTTATTTCATTTCTATACTTAAGGGTCTGTAAAACATCTTCAGGGAGAAAATACACACACACACACACACACACACACACACACACACACACACAAAACAAATCAACACACAGCTTTAATACATTTCAGCAGAGCTTTAGGACTAGGAAAGGTCAGCTAAAGCGGCGAAAATGCTTTTAAACATAAAATTGTAGAATAACCTTTTATATTTTACCAAGATTAAGTGCTGAACTTCAGACATCTCATCATTCCATTTGACCACTGAAATGCCATCATGCAACAAAAAATCCACATGCAGAGAGAAGTGAGACGCACGGATATATCCTGACATCCTGGAGAAATTTCCATCAGGAGGCAGGAGTCGGGAAACTGTTCACAGTGTTTACTTTTATATATCTTCCATAAATGAATAATGATAACGTTACAAAATAAATCAGTGTAACTTGCAGCAGCACACTAAAGGCATTCAGTGTGTTCGGTTTTATGACGCTTCTTCATTATCACACGCAACATAAACACGCAAATAGTAAATGTTAAGGTATTAAAAATCTGAATGCCATGTAATTATCCAAAATAACATCGCAAAACAACTTTTACATTTTATTTCTGTTTATTTTACTGTGTGTTGAATTGCTGTCTTGTTGTACTCCTACATTTAATTTGTAAAATATCTGGAATTCTTTTAATAATAAAAACAAGATAAAATATTAATATAGGGATATATTTTGTTCCCCCTGTGGGGGTACAAACTTTTGCATTCAACTGTGAATATGAATTCGTGGTAAGCTCACCTGTCAATCACCCTCAGTGGGTGGGATCAGCTAATTCCTCTGGGTTACGCGTTAGCTTTATTCTGTGTTATTGGTTAACGTTAGCTAGCTAACTAGCCTACGCGCTTGTGTTGAACTGCTTCTACTTTTCGCATTTTCCACCACAGTAATGCTAACATGCTCTCCATCTGACTCTGATGCTAGCTGTACTGCAAGGACACGCTGAGAGTAAAACAATAAAATAAAACAGCCGTTAATAAATAATGAGCGTGAATATTAATGATTAATTTTGTCACATTTGATCCACCATATAAAAGCAGCGCGACAACAGACCAGGGCACAATGAATACAGTCGATATGAGAAACATGAATAGGGTGAAAGTTTGAGTGTGTATGAAGTGTGTATAAATAAAACCCTCACCCTTGATCTCACGGTACGATCTTATCGCAATATTTCATATAAATAAATTATTTTAACCGCAAATAGCCATTAAAACCGACGTCGTCTTTACTAAAAAACCTTGACGTCGAGCTCTCCAGCTTGTGTAAATAATGTTTAGTTACTGTAGAGATGCCTCAGACTTTATTTAATTTAATAGTTTAAACTTTATGTAGTGATGACAACCACTTGGTGTAATGCTAGTTGGCTAGCTGGAGTCTATCTAACACCCGATTGCTGGTTCGATTTTGTTTCCCAGCAATCGCTTAAAATTGATTTTAGAACGAATGTAAATATCTTTACCGTGTGATGTGGAGTAACCGTTGCCTAAATAGCACCATGTTGGAAATATAAGCCAATGGAATCGTATCCATGATGTCAGGTGGGCGGAGCTTATCTCCGTATGGCGCTGTGAACGGGACAGAATTACATTCTGCGACACGTGCTGCCTGAAATCCTGCTCATCACGGAGCTTACTGATAATATTTTGCTCACAATAATAATAGCACTATGTTGTATAACCGTTTTTTTTTTTTTTTTTTACGGTGTGACTTGTAAACTATGTCGTCAGAGGCCAAATCGATAAACTAAAAGCATTATGTGGTGTAAACTAAAGAGAAACTGAGAAAATGAGGAAGGTGTGGGATGAGAGGGTCAGGAGGTGAACTGAGCATTCTGGTTTTTTAAAAAAAAAAAGATCAGTGTAACAGTGCAGTTTAAAAATGTACAAGAGGAAGTGCAAAGGTTGAGTATGCTCTACACGCTAAAAATAAACATGTTAAAACCAGAAAGATGGACTGAGAGAAGGAAACATACAGAGAGAGAGAGAGAGAGAGAGAGAGAGAGAGGTGAAGGAAGTAAGAGAGATAGAGACAGAGAGAAAGAAAAGATAAAAGGAAAGTGTGTTCAGCTGACGGAGCAGGGGTCGTCCTTGCAGGGCTTCACTTCCCCCTGCAGCAGCTGGATCATCACAGCTTTAGTCAGGTAGCTGGAGGTTCCTTTCTTCCCCAATGGAGGAGTGTTATAGAACGCCTCCATCTCCGTCTGTGACATTATTATTATTATTATTATTATTATTATTATAATTTACATGGTCTTGTGGAATCAGTAATTGTAAACAACATAACATGAAAACGGGATAGTGGTGGTGGTGGTGGTGATAATGGTGATGAGAACAGCTATGGTGTTAGTGATGACACTGATTCTGACGATGGGATGATGGTGATGGTGGCGGTGATGGTGATGATAGTGGTAATAATGATGATGGTGATAGTGGTGATGATGGTGGCGATGGTGGTAGTGGTGGAGACGGTCATAGTGGCGGTGACGGCGGCAGTGATGGTGATAGTGGCGGTCATAGTGGTAATGATGATGGTGATGGTGGCGGTGACAGTCATGGTGGTGGTGATGGTGGTGGTGGTTGTAGTGGAGGAGACGGTCATAGTGGCGGTGATGGTGATAGTGGCGGTCATAGTGGTGGTGGCGATGGTGGCGATGGTGGTAATGGAGGAGACGGTGATAGTGGCGGTGATGGTGGCAGTGATGGTTATAGTGGCGATGTTATAATGGTAATCAGATAATATGGTGATATAAAATATGATATTGTAATATATATTGTGATATATATATGGAATATATAAATAAATATATGATATAAATAAATATAAATAATCAATAAAATGGAATATACAATGGTGATAATGGTAATGATGATGGTGAAGATGCAGATGGTGATAGTCGCGATGGTAATAGTGGCGCTGATGATGCTGATAATGGTGATAGTGGTGAGGTGATGGAGGTGATAATGGCGATGATGATAGTGATAATTGTGGTGATGATGATGATGATGATGATGAAGAAGATGATGATATAGTGGTGGTGATGATGGTGAAGATGGTGATAATAATGGCGATAATGGTGGTGGAGATGGTGGTGGTGGTGGTGATGATGTTGGTGATAGTAGTAGTGATGGTGATGATAACAGAGGTGATGATAGCTCACTCACCTGACTCTGAGCCACATCTGCTCGTCCGCGATCCCTCTGGAAATCACTGAAGGCTTCTCTCACCAGGTGATCCAGATCCACCTTCTCCTGAAACTCCAGCTCGGGATTTCTCTCCAGCACCAGAGACACCACCATCAGGAGCTGGGGAGAACCGGAGGAGAACCACATCATACACACACAAACACACACACACTTTACTGTTTCGTCCTGTAATGCATAAACATGTGCTTTAACCAGAGCCGCACCTCCACAATGATCTGTCTGTATTCGGGCAGCACGATGTTCTTCAGCGTGTGCTCCACCAGCAGGGAGAAGTTCATCTCGTACATGGTCATATCTGACAGAGTGGGTTGCTAAAGAGGGGAAAAGTTGTGTGTTGTGAAGATAAGCTCCAATAATCAGTAATGTGATACATCTCAATATTCACAATATCCCTAATTTGAAGGAAGCTCCTGAGGAAGGATGAGGACAAGCCGTCTTCTGAAGTTTCAACAAAATAGACTGTGTGTAAACTATAATGAACTTTTGTGGTTACACAACTGCACTTTTTGACCATGTAGCCTACAGGTTAGAAGGGAATGATTTATAATCGCAGTATCCGGTGACACCCAGATGAGGACGGGTTCCTTTTGAGTCTGGTTCCTCTCAAG